GCCGCGCATTCGCCGGCGAGCGCTCGCTCAGAGTGGAGAGTGCTGCGACTTGCGAGTTGTTGTGCCGCGTATTTTTACTCTCTCTCTCTCTCTCTCTCTCTCTCTCTCTCTCTCTCTCTCTCTCTCTCTCTCTCGCGCGCGCGTTCAATCTTCTTACGTCAAGTGCCACGCTGTGCAGTGCGACCATCCGAAATTCGCGAACGCGATATACTACTCCAGGAAATGAATTATACTCTGGACTCTTTGGAGTTCACGTTCTTTATGTGTTTCAAGAATCACGCAATAATCATTGTCGAATTTGCTAAGTGCGATCTCTGACCATCAAGTTGTGAATGGACACGAATCTACGAATATCGAGACGTATTCTTGAAATAATTGCGAAGTGGTGCTCAATGCATTAGAAGAGTTTAAGCTTTCAGTATTGTTCTCGGGTTTCTAAACATTTATCGCCGGGTTGACGTACTACAGCGATACCGAGCTGTGACCGGCGAGCCTTAATCGATTTTTGATTGCTAAATTCTAACTGCCAAGTTCCAATTGTAATTGTGCAAGTGTAACTGTTAGGATATCAGGTAATTATTCTTCTTAGAAAGATTCATCAAGAGACTTTGGTTCGCTTTTGTCAGAGCTTAAGGGTCATCAATTGATCTCTAAAGTTAATTATAAAAGTTAATTTCCTTATTAATGCGCGTAACCGTGACTTAATTAATATCGGATATGCGCCGGCGTGCAATTCGTTGAAATATCTTGGTGGAACGCTCGGCAAGTGGAGAAATGTATTATTTAATCCACCGGGTCATCGGCCTTCCTAGATGCGATTAACGCGACTCGTGATCGCTGTTAATCGACATAATTAATTTATAAGGAACCTCACGTACATTAATTGAAACTGCTTGTGCGTATATATCGACATGACGCAATTATCGATTCTTCCAGCGTTGATTAATTCTCACCGTGATTAATTTTCACCGATTGTCGTTTTTACTGTAATACAGAAAACTGATACAATTTATTACAATTTTTATCAACCGATATCAAGGATCGAAGCAGATTGGTCGAATTTTCGAAAGATGCGCGAAAATAGAATCGTCGTATGGCATATCGCACAAGAATTCTCCGAAGAAAATCGATCCTATTAAATAAACAAGTGGCGCATCTGCGCATCTAGTATTTACACGTCGTAGACTTGCTACATGCGAAGAAACTGATATCTTGGTTTCCGATTACGCTCCTCTATCGCGAGCAATGAGTTGATTTCTCACTTACGTAGACGATGAGCAGAAAACATTCGTGACACATGCCGAAATTTAAGTAGGTAGATAAAGACAAAAGTAAAAGATCTAATCAATCGTGTGACTGCGAAATATTCGAATCAATTACTCAAGACTATATTCTTGGCCATTTTATTTAATAAATATACTTTTTATCCGTTTGACATTATTCGAGATATAACACAAGAGATTTGATTAAATTTGATTTGATGTATTTAAAAATTACTCGATTTAATTTGATTTATTTTGAACAAGATAATCTTTCAAAAGCAATTTTTTTGGCACGTAAATTATTTTATAATAGAGTATATTTTTCAAAATATACTCATGGATTCTTATTATCGATGATTTATATTTGTTGTTTCTTTGAAAACGCTGAATTAGTATTTGTTCAGAAATATACTATATCACAATCAATAAACGTTTATATCGGTTAAGCATGTCATAATCACGTATTTTGCTGAATCGTTCTTGCGTTTGCTGGATTTTTGAATGAAAATTTATTTATGACTCATTCATTCTTGACTTTACTTTGACCGCGTTTCTGTTAATAGTGTCTGTGTAATGGAAGTCTGTTATATAATATAATGGATATGATTAAAAATTTGTTATTAAATAGATAATTATGGTAGATAATTATAAAAGGTAGGTTATTTCAAAACTATATCTGAATTATGATTTTATTTCAATCATATTTCATTTAATTTAGTACGTGTCGCAATTTACGGTTGTGCTTTGTTGTTCAACATTGTGACGTTCGCGATACGGTCACATTACAAGAATTTCTCGTGAATTATATCGTCGCAATGCGCCCTGAAAGATAATGAAGTTTAATACGTGATACGGGACGCGTTATCTAATCTAGATATCATTTAAAGCGTAGTAGAAGCGAGAATTGGAGACGTGTAACAACTTGCGAATTTCAATGCGCAAAAAGTTAATTTTTTGCGCGTATTATTTTTTTAATTCATCTATTAATCAATCGCATTATGCCCCAATGCTTTTACGGAGCAAAGTTGCATTTTCGTATAATGATATTATAATTAATCAATGAATTAAAAAACTTGCTTTATTTCTCTGTAACATTTGTCATATTTTTCATCGTTATGTGTTTACTACTTCGTCATTGTGTTTTTCCATCAAATATTTCCCTGCTATGTTGATTGCTTTTTCGTTTTCCTCTCAGTTGCTTTCACGTTATACTATTTATTTGTTTATCATATTAATTATTGCTCAGATATTTTATTCTAATTACGTAACGTAGAATATCTGGAGATTTCTTGCCATACCAACAGAATCGATTGAAAATATCATAATTGCAAAATCATAAATTTTAAGGAGTTATTTTAGTTTTCTTTGCAACAGTTTTTGCTTAACGTAGACGGAGAAAAGAATTAAAATGCCTCAATATTTTATGGCGCCAATTATGCCCCGAAGTGGCTTAATCTTTCATTCAAAATTAAACCCGCCACTTCTCTCGAAATATTAAAATTAGCTCACGGTGTTCAGCAAAAAAAAAAGAAAAAGAAAAGGGAAAACAGCAAAACAAAAAGTTGCATGTCGCTGCGAGGGATGAATGCATCCTACTTTTCTCGCGGTCGTCTTCGCGCGCGAGCGATAAGCGAGTATGTATCGGTATGCGTGCATACGTGCGTGCATGCCTGTCCTTTTTTCGTAATCGCCGACGTGTCGGCGGCGCCAAGCTAGAAGACGCGGAGGAAGGCCGACGACCCGTTATAAATGGAACCAGAGAGACGGCATTTCTTGAATCGCTGCTTGTGTTGTTATTCGCAGCGCAGCGTCGGCTGCTGCGGGATGAGTGAGCGAACGAGCGAACCAGGCTCGGAAACCACCCTTGCTTTCGAAGGTGCGAAAAAGGAGGAGACAGTCTCCGTAATTCTGAATCGTGCTCGAGTTTGATGTTCGGTGTAGTTTGAGAATCAGAAAAGAAGAACGAAAGAATTTAGAGGAAATCGAAGAGGAAGCACTTTCTTCATATTTTTATACGATAAAGAGACGCTGGAATAAAATTAATTAGTAACGCTAAATAATGCGTGACACTTGATGAGAAAAAAAAACAGAAAGAGAGAGAGAGAGTGCGGATCAGCTGAAATCCTTGGCTTTTACTTGTAAAACTCTAAGTGGTATTAGTCGTTCGGAGAAGAGACAAGCAAAGGGAACGATTTATTTGATTAATACGTACAATCATTTAACAGTTAGAGAACAAGAAATTTTTCAAGTACAGAAATTGTTTGAGAGACAGAGTCTTACTGGTGGAGGAGAGAGAAAAGGATGAGAGGAAAACAAATAAATCGTGTCACGTGAAATTTGTCATCTTTAAGGAGAAATCGTGATAAGATAACGGCGGTCGTTGCTACTAATAAACGTGCTCGACGAAAGAGATCACATTGTGATTTCTTGACGAAGGAGATTGTAATCGCGGCTGTCATCTTGAGAAAGGAGCTCGATCGCGCTCGATTCGGAGCTTCGCGAGTCGCAAGAGTTGTGCAAGATCGGCGTGTCGTCGCGCGGCTGCAAAAAGGGGGCTGTATTACTCAACACGCGACTTTATCGAGGATTCCGCGCGAAGGAAGAATCGCGTTCGACATGCCAGACGGGGACTCGTAATCGCGGTTACGCTCGTTCATCAGGTAGAAAACGACACATGGGACCAATATTGGCTGCCTGTTCATCAATCGTCGCCATAATTTCCTCCGAGTCATCTGAAATTAGTAGGAAAGATTCTAACGCTGCCATTAATAGCTCCATATCTAAGCAATGATGACTTCAGCTGATGATTAATAGATAACCGCCGATTAAATACCTGATCGAGGCAAAGAAAGAGAGCGAGAAGAGAAAGGTTTTCGCTGTTTCTTTTTGAAGTAATATTCTTGTGCTTCAATATTGCGCCATAATTATCAATTCTCTATTCATTCTTCACATAATTCTTCTGAAACACTAGATCCGTACGTTTTCTTTCTCTCGAAAATCTCTTTCTTTCTCTTTTGTGTGTAAACGAAAGAGAATTTAATGAAGTGCACGAGAGATTAATTAATGATTGATAATTATACCGCTATGAAATTGAGCAATGATGACTTGAGCAGATGATGGACTGTTCGTTACAATAATTAATTTCGTAAGAGTGTTGAGAGTGTCGCGTGTGCTCGAGAAGGACATCAGCCCTTTTTATGCATGCGAGTGAATGTCAGTGTTCTGCCGAGGATATGAGTAAATAAGTGACGGCGGTAAAGTGCAAAGTGATGTAATTGGTGCATTCGCTGCAGAGGCAATGTGTGATGCCAAATCAGCCCGAATGACACTTAGCCCACGCAGCTGATGACAAATGTAAACAGGATCAAGGTGGTCGTCCTCGGCGGCCCCAGAGTCGGTAAATCAGGTGAATCTTTTTTTTCTATCTTTTGATTTTGCTTCATTCTGATGTAAAAATAATTTCATTTATTTATTTTCATCAACGTATACTATTATCAAAATCACAAAATTCTAATAAAGAAATCACGATTAACTCAATTAATTCTTTTGCAAGTATAATTAACTGAATTAATTCTAATTACTAACCGTAAGTTAATTCTTCGTCTACAATCTGAGTTTTATCCAGTTTAAGTTTTTTATTGTTTTAGGTTTGCAAAAAAGAACTCCATTATTAACAAGATATTTTTAGTGTTCTTTTATTTCAGAGAAATTTAAGTGAAATTTCACTTGTGCTAAAAAAGACCTAGATTTCAAACGAAGATTTAATTTATTTGCTTGAGATTGCAAGAAATTCTAATCAAATTATACGATGTGTGTGTGTGTGTGTGTGTGTGTGTGTGTGTGTGTGTGTGTGTGTGTGTGTGTGTGTGTGTGTGTGTTTGTGTGTGTGTGTCGCTTTGCTATTGTTTTGTGATCTACGAAGAGAAAGGTTTTGCACGTTGACCTTGCCAAATTACAATAAATTGAATCGCGTTAAAATGGATAACGGAAAATACTGCGGAAGCAATCTTGATTTCCTATACGAGAACGTGATGCGATTGAAACACATCGCGTTGGAAACGATATTCATTCGGTGACGAGCGAAACGGCGAAAAAAGTTGCGTATTGATTGTGGCGCAATGTCGTGAAATATGAAAAAATATTGAATCACGTCGGAAGGACGTTCATTATGATGGACGATACTAATATCGCGTCCTCGTGCAGCGTGTAATTTCTGCGCGTTGTCTAATAGCGCACCGACGCAACGCATTGAATGAAAGTGCCGTTAAGATGGATACGCATAGTCCGTGGAATAATACGTTGCATTAGTTAACCCGACAGTCGCGCGACGCATACAAAGCGAGCAAACGAACGGGCGATAAGGCGGTTCGCCGACCTCGGAATAAATCCTATTAATAACCGCTAGGACCAGCCACTTTAATAAAGGCGCGCTCTTCGTTTTATTCTGATCTCGTCCGATCTCGTACATGACTCTCCTCTTTCTTTGCTCACCAATTTTGCATCTTCATATTATTAAGTTACTGGAATCAACCAATCATCTACGAACCATCTCATTGGCTACGTTCAGAGTAAAATGTTTATTTTGTAACTGTTGGAAGGGTTTCTTCGTGCTGATTGAATTATATTTTTAAGCTGATATGCATAGTCGGTCTTATTTTATGAAGTCTTTATCTTAAGTAATATTTTATTATGCTAATACAGCTCTGTGATCGTTTCTGTGACGACATCTTTGTGCTTAAGATGCATCTTGAATATAAGAATCGATTATGAATATCGGTCTCAGAGCTACAAGAATAATTCTTCTTTCTCTAATCTGAACGAAAAAAATATTTAATATAAAATACATATTTTTTTGAACACGGCTATCGTCGAGTTATTATATTTAAAATTGCATTCTAACACTGTTAATTATATATCTTTTTAAGATATTGTTATATCTCGTAATATCGAATACCTTAAATTCTTCAATCGTTTTCGTATCTTCGAATAGAAAGTTGTGTTGCCTGATGACATCGTCATATCTCGGAATATCACAAATTGCCATTTTCTGTCAGGATTATTGCATTTTTTTCGGGAACATATTTATTTAATTGCGTTTCGTTACTTTTGCATTCGCACTGCTGTGCACGATCTTGATTGCTGTAAAACACGCGACAATGTCGTCTGTTCTACTTTTTGCGACAAAAACGGTGCATTCTCACGCGGCGACGGCGGCGATGCGATAGGAAGAGGGATATCTCGACGGGTGCGAATCCTTAAAAGTCTCTTGTGAGACCCCGCTGGGTATAATAAGGACCTCCGTGGACGTTATCGGATATCATTCCGTGTGACCGAGAGGAGAGGGGAGTTGAAAAATTCTGCACGGTTGCAGCAGCAGGTTGTAAGATCTGGACATTCGATACGTCCGTTCCGTTGCCCGATTTATTCGATTTTGAATTCCAAATTTATGCGGTAACATTTCTCCTCCGCATTATCGCACCTTCGCCTGACACACTCCCGTGTACACGCAAAATAACCGTAACTCCTCTAATAAATAATAAAGGAAATGAAAATTTTGTTTGGAAATTTGGAATTTGGTTATCACGTATTAATCTTTATATGCCACACTACAGGAACACTTGGGTATATCACATTCAACCCAATTCAATCACTTATAACTTATTCATAAAAATGTATATATTGTAAATAATTTGTTTCAATTGAAATGTTAAATATTAAGAAATATAACGGTAGCAAATGTATCTTTATTAATTTAAAAAATAAGTTTTTTTACAAAAAGTTAAGCAATGGAAAAAATATTTAAAAAAACATTGGGCAATGAAAGCCGGGTATATATATATATCGAAAGGGTATATATATCGAAAAGGTGTTTAAGAGTTAGTTATGTAATAGGAGCTTAATTTTCGCAAAAATAGATAGTAATGTATAGCATTTGAATTGGATATTTCCAAGTAAATTATAGAATTCTTCAACGACAAGTAGATTTCGCAAAAATTACTGACAGTGAGGAATCATGAAAAGAATTATGGTCATGCGAGAAATGCAAGATTGTTATCTACAGCCATTTATCTGCGTTAACGCTTATTGAAGAGGCAATTGGAGGTCCGCTATCCAAGCCCAGACATGTTCATAAATTCATTTGGTCTAAACGATTTGCTTTATTGTCGTGTCACAAGAAAAGCGGACAGAATAGTAGCTCGTGGAAGTCGCGCTTCAATAGATTTCTTTTCTGCGAGATATTAATTTGACACTCTTATTACCATTATTACCTTTTTAATATTTTAAATATAGAATTTTCTCCATTATACGATCAAATTACAATTTATATTCGTTTTTAGAAAAATCATATATCCCATTACTTTTTTAAAGACAAATGTCTTTCAGCAAATATTATTGTACATTACTTTTCTTCTTTTTTTCTCTCCTAATAAATAAATCAATTTTTTATTGTATAAAAGTGTTATTATAGCATTTTTATTCTAATTTTAAAATTGTTATTGTTAAAAATTGTGTTTGGAGCTATTTGGAGCAACTAAAAAAATTATGTACAGAAAATTTTATACTTTCTGTACGAAAAATTAACATGCCAAGAACGAAATTTGTTTCAATAAAAGATAGTGTTGAATGGGGTAGACAAAAAATTTCAACGAGATACAAGAGGATGCACTTGATTGACAACGTGTCGCACCATCCTGATCTTTTTTTTGTCTCGTTCCCTCTCTCTTTCTCTCTCTCTCTTTTTCCCCCTCTCCTTCCATTCAAAGCGATCGTGACCGTAATTACTATTTTCTTACGTCCACCAAGCGGCTTATCCTCCAACGATCTATCTATAGAAACCCGCGCTGGCAACCATCGCACGTCGGCGAATGGTTGCGTTTTGCTCGTACCGTTGCATCTTCCACATTACATACAATTCTTCGCAGGTGACTTAATCGGCTTCTCTCTTCTTATTCTTTTTCTTCATTCTTTTCTTACTATTCGTTCTTCTACCTGCCTAGTTTTTGCCTTTCTCTTTTTTTTTTCTTAATTTTGAACGTGATCAATGCTTGCATGCTATCAGTTAAAATGTTACCTCTTTGAAGATTTTGACTGAGTTTTTTGAAATTTCATTTAATAATAATACCATTGCGGTCGACCTATTTTTTTCGATTTTTTAACTGTACGTTGGAATAAATTTTGATAGTTGTTATCTATAGCAATATTTTGCATTCTGCATGAGCTATTAGTTATTTCTTATCTTTTAATAAGATGGCTGCGTTAGGCCCTACTATATTGTTGGCATTCCCAAGTTGATTCTACGAAAGATAAGAATTTTATTATAAACACTTTGTATCTGGCACGAGTGTCAGGTTTCCCTCGCATTTGGATTTGAGTGCAGTGAAGAGTGTGCTTTCATCAGACCCGGGCGCTTGGCACAGATTACTCTTGGAACTATTAGGCGTTACGAGCAACATTCTCGTGTCCACATCAATTACTTCGATTCGCGCAGCCTGTATAGGATTACGCGTGACATTGCCTCGATTTGATGACAGTCATCTCCAAGAAAGAATGAGTCTTCTCGATTACCGAATTGCTTGGCACAATATAATAATCCGCTGATGTCTTTGTATTGATGACTATTGAAAATATATACATAGTTTTTATAAAATTTCTTATTTTTAAATTATATATAGTTATATATATTCAAATGCAAAATGCTAATTAATATAGCAACATGTCAATCTTTTATTATACTAATAATTTGGTTTTTATTTATGGTTTTATGTATAAAATAGAAATAGATTAAATACGTGAATTTGTTTTTCATAGATATTTTTTATAGATTTTTTTATAGATATATATTTATCTATCGAATATTTAATTTTTTAAATAAAACGGAATATAAAATATTTGCACAATTGGTACCCTATATAATTATAATTTATATCTTTTAATAAATTAGAGTTTCCTTCTCTTTGAAAGGATCAGTTGAGGGATCAGTTCTTGCCGGTCCATCGACTTTCCGCAAGCGTACATTGAATCGCTGTTGAAAATAAATCGTCGTCCAGCTGCACGGAAATATTTCGAAGATAGGCACTCGTATCTCTCATCTCAGCAAATGGCTCACGAATGAAGTTCTATATTCTGTTCCTGCTCGTGTCTTTACCTCTCCTCTCCTCTTTTTCCGTTCGTGATATTTCCTCTTCCCTCCCATCGTCGTCGTTGTCGTTGAACTCGGCGATAGATTTATAAACAGTGTATATCTACGGGTACAGAACGCTATGAATCTATATACTCTACTATAATAAGTCTTGCGAGGTTTGAACGATGACAACGACGACGACGATGCCAGGAACGTCGTCAATATATTGAATCTTAAGCCGCCTTTCGCGCCGCAACGAAACGGAATTTATGACGCAAGAAATTTATCGGCAACCACAGGAAAACTCGTTCTTCACGAATATTTATGGTTTCTTTATTAACATTGAAAATAAGTTAATGGCGTTTCAACACCTGCTCATAAAAGCGCGCGCGTCCGTCTAGCTAGAGAACGAAAATACGTCTTCTTACATTATTACTTGTAATTACGATTCCACAGATGTATCATCAGACTCACTACAATTATTCGCGAGATCGTTTTTGAAGTTAATCAATTTCTTTTTCCTCTTTCTGTTGCAGCCGTGGTTGTGCGGTACTTGACAAGGCGATACATCGGCGAGTACAGCTCGACCAGTGGTAAGTGTTTCTTCATTATCCCCCTTTTTTTTTCTCTTCAAGATAATTGCCAATGTGAAGCGTGAATGATTGCGTTCATTCGTTGTTAATTTCGAGACGTCACATTCTGGATAAATGTTCAGTTCATATCTAAGTTTCTTTTTTGCTTGCTATCGACTTATCTCTTGGGGGGGGGGCGACTCCGATTCGCGCGCGGAATGCTCACCCTGTAGTACAAAACGCGAATCTAAATCTTGATCGGTGCCTCTCGCGTGTTCCAGCGGGGACCGCGACGGAAAAATCCGCTGTGAAATATTCTCGCGTTCGAAACCGGACTCTAATTCAAGGGTACCAATGAAAAATCTTAATCATGGCGCCTTGCGAGCGATGTCCCGAGGGCATTCTAGCGATCACAGAAATACACGAGATAAGGGGATAGGGGGTAGCAGCGGAAGAAAGATATAAAGGGAGAAAGATATAGAGAAAGAGAAAGAGAGACCGCAACAGACACCGCTGGATCCATGGAGGGCGGAGATTTAAACACTCGATATGAAATAGAGCCTATAGGGAGGGCCTCCAGAATGCAGATCTCTCCCATAACTCATGCAGGCTACTTCGCCGTAATAATTGCCGTGCACGCCCGCGGACGGTATAAGCTATGACGGCGAGTTTCGCGGATATCCGAGTCGCTTGGAAAAATTCACCGTGAAGTATTGTCCCCTTAACCCTGAACCGGTCGGTCGCTCGTATTTTTGTAACACCTCTATGGCCGAACCGGCTGTACATCCTCACCGGCGAGTACCACGTCATTTTGTTGCAATCCCAATAGCTGTAGGGACATTATCGCCAAGATAACCGATGCTTGAAGCAAATATAATTATGTAAAATACATAAATTTATAGTCGATTAGAATAAATTGCAGATAAAACTTCCTGAATGGCTTTTATCCGTATTCAAGATTATGAATCCTTTTTGGAAAAGGATTTAACTTTTTTTACGTTAACACAAGACACAAGAGTGGTTAAGAATCACCACATCAGATGTTTATTGGTCTATTTTTTTTTAAATATTTAAATTAGATGATTAATTAATTGTCTGAATTAAGTTTGGGAAAATGTAGTGTCCTGAAACATAAAAGTTCTCGGAATGAAGATTTACAAAAAAACTTATAAGTCAATTTGCACGCAAAGTTTCTCCTTACTTTCTTTACAAGTGCATTCACATTAATATAATGTACGGAAAGCTTCCCGGTACAATAGTGCAATCATCGATTTATCGAATTTCTCTCGTACATAACTGGCACTCAGAATCAATCTTGATCCCAATCGATCTATAATGTTGCGATCGATAATGCCGAGAGTGGAAGGGTACCGTCGCGAGTGCTCTCTCCTACCATCGATATTAATTAATTTCCTGGGAAAATGATGGATAATCACTCTTGAATGTAACCAGGAAGCGGATAATCTATATGTTCTCCCTCGATCAAAAAGGGAGATAATCGCTCAATCGATCCTCAAAGATGACGCTATGGACGCTACGGAACTGATTACTATCCATCAAGAATCAATAAAAAAAGATAAGAATAATGATAAATAAAAAATTCCGACGTAGACATGTAAGGGGTCTGAAGATATTATACAGATTGCTTTGTATAAAATAATTTCTATAGAAATAATGTATAAACGAATATTGGACAAAAACTTTGGTTGACTTCATCAAAAAAGTATCTTTCCTTTTGTTACTTTTTGTTACATTTTTTTATATCGTGCAGAATTTCTTGATAGTAATAGTATAAAATTTTAGGATTTTGATAATAGGATCTTTATATTTATGAAAATCGAAATATTAAATCTTCAATTTGGTTTGTTAAGAATTTTTGTTTTTTTTCTTTTTTATAAGGAATTTGCTAATGTAAGATAGCATTCGGAGCAATCATATGCAACAGCTCCGTCATTCTCTTTCTCTCTGTATCTCTCTTTCTCTTCCTTTTTTGCTTGCTTCTCTTTCGGTACATCTTGTGTGAAACGAATTGAAAATGCGTCGACACTTCGTGCGACTCGTGTATGGGTTATCGCCTATACTTTCGTTCCCGATCGTTGGAGAATCACTTTTCCGAAGAAAACGCCCTCAAACGGTGAAAGCGAGGCCATTGATTTCCTTCAGTTGGTTTGCGTAGGTGAATGAAACGTGGAAAAATTTTTTTAGCGTATTATAAAAATTAATTTATTTTGTAAATTTAAAGATTATTCGAAAAATGTGATTAATAAAAAAGTCACTTTCAAATTTTTATTATATTTTGGATAATTATAAAATGGATGATAATTATGTAATTGGATAATAATTAATTACATTAAATAATTTTAAAATTAATTTTCTTAAAAATTTAGAGGTAAATATTGTAAGAAATAAATTTAAAAAATATAGAATTATTAATGTGAAATATTTTAATCAAAAGCAGAGAGAAGTATCTAATTTTATATGTATTAGGTGTACAACTTTGCTTCTGCCGTTTTTTTCCGAAATTCGAGGCTTTATTGTAAAAAACTGGTTATACATTTATGATTCAAAATATTGTCCATCGCTAGTCACTACTTTCTCCCATCTTTCGGGTAGCGTACGAATCCCCAATCGAAAAAACTGGTCATCTTTTGAAGCTATCCACGAATCGATCCAATTTTTTACTTCTTCATAAGACCGGAAGTGCTGGTCAGCCAGACCATGTGCCATTGATCGAAACAAGTGATAGTCAGAGGGAGCAACGTCTGGAGAATACGGCGGGTGGGGACTTCCCATTTCAACGTTTCCAAGTATGTCTTGACCACTTTCGCAACATGGGGTCGAGCATTGTCATGCTGCAAAATCACTTTATCGTGTCTCTCGTTGTATTGCGGCCGTTTGTCTTTCAATGCTCGGCTCAAACGCATCAATTGCGTTCGATACCGATCGCCTGTGATTGTTTCAGTCAGTTTTAACAGTTCATAATACACTACGCCGAGCTGGTCCCACCAAATACAGAGCATGACCTTGGACGTCAAAATCACCGTTGAAGCGTTGAAACCACTCACGACACGTTCTTTCACTAATAGCGGCCTCACCATAAGTATTGAGAGCATTCGATGAGCCTCAACCGCAGATTTCTTCATATTGAAGCAAAAAATTAAAACCTCCC